TCACCTGAGGTCAGGAGTTTGAGACCAGCCTGACCAACATGGAGAAACCTCGTCTCTACTAAAAAAATACAAAAATTAGCCGGGCACGGTGGCGGGCGCCTGTAATCCCAGCTACTTGGGAGGCTGAGGCAGGAGAATTGCTTGAACCTGGGAGGCGGAGGCTGCAGGGAGCTGAGCACACCATTGCACTCCAGCCTGGGTGACAGAGTAAGACTCCATTAAAAAAAAAAAAATGCATCGAGAAATAAGGTGATGGATGATGGATAGAAGGATGAATAGATTATACTTAATAAAGCAAATATCGTGTAAGTGCTGTAAAATTGATAGTGTAAAATATATGTTTATGTAAATATGTAAAATATACATAAATAAAATTGTTGAATCTAGGTGGAGGCATTGGATATTCAGTGTGCCATTCTTTCAACTTTTGTATATGTGTAAATTTTCATAATAAAATATTGGAAAAGAAAAATAGGCCAGGTGTGGTGGCTCACGCCTGTAATCCTAGCACTTTTGGAGGCCGAGGCGGGCGGATCACAAGGCCAGGAGTTCGAGACCAGCCTGGCCAACATGGTGAAACCCCGTCTCTACTAAAAATACAAAAATTAGCGAGGCTTGGTGGTGCGCGCCTGTAATCCCAGCTACTCAGGAGGCTGAGGCAGGAGAATCGCTTGAACCTGGGAGGTAGAAGTTGCAGCAAGCCGAGATGGTGCCACTGCACTCCAGCCTGGACGACAGGGCGAGACTCCATCTCAAAAAAATAAAATAAAATAGTACTTTGATTTCAAGAAAAATATTAATAAGTAGACAATAGCACACGTGGTAGAATGAATTGGCAAAAATCGTGAAGGTGATGGTGAATGATCAACCCGCTGGCAAACGGGGACTGAGTCTAAGTACTTTGGACAGGATCAGAAGAAGGTTCTGGGAATGCGCGGCCCCAGGGGAAAAGCCTCAGGTAAAGAAGACGGTCAGGTGGAAGCCGCTAAGCCCTGGAGGCAGAGCCTGAAGAGCAGTGGGGAAGTCTCACCTTTGAGATCAAGACAGCTCATCAATTCCCGAACCCATGGGTCCTTACTGCCCCCACACACGCTCCAGGAAGGCAACTGGAACCTGCGGAGGAGAGACCTGGGCTCAGCTGCGGCTCCTCCTTTCCTTCCTCATTCCAAAGGCGTTAAGTCGCTACCAAGTGCCCTTTCTGCTGGGACTGGGAAATTCCCCGGTAGGTGCGACGGAGTCATGAAATTTCGGGGAATGGGAGCAAACAGAACCCGGAGATCGGGCTAGGTGCGCCGGGAAGGAGTTCAGGTTTGACCAGAGAGGGTCCTGGACGCACCTGGCAAGGAGGGGCCGCGCAGGCGCTCGCAGAGGCAGGTGAAATTACCTGATGTAGTGTAGACAGTGATGGTAAGCTCTCAGGTGTTTCCGGAGACGATTCATGAACTGAGCCGATGGCGGGGAGTCAGAAGAAATTCTTTTACCACAATGACAGCTTCCAGTGACGGTGCCCTCGTTGCCATTGCCTGAGCAGGACAGAGGTGGTCAGCACGCGTTCCCAGGCCTAGGGTCCCCACTCCGCTGTTCCCTGGCCTCCAATCCACAGCTCCATGACAGCCTCTCCCGTGGACCCAGGGTCAGAGCGCCAGGCTCACCCCACACATTATCACGACCCCCACAACATCCATAATCCCGCCCGGAGCCAGGTGTCCCGGGGCCTCTGTCGCCAACCCCGAGCGGCTGGCTGGCTTTCCTCTTGTCCCCGCTGCCTTCATCAACTCAACTCCGTGGACCTCATGTCCCCTCCCCAAATCACCCCCTTCCCATGACTGGGGAATCTGGGTCCCCTGTCCCGCCCCCGGCTAACCTGGCGGAGGCAGCCACGCCAGCAGGAGCAGGAGCAGGAGCGCGCGGGCCCCGGGCCCCAAGGCCTGTCCCATGTCCGGGCTCCGCGGAGTCTGCGGGGATGGAGCCGCCGCGCTCTGACTCCCAGACAGGCTCCGGCGCATGACGTCCAGCTGGTTTCTCAATGGCTTTCGCCAAGGACTGGAGGAGACGGCGGCCGTCGACGCCAGGTCGCGGCCGGAG